TGGGATCTAATGGGTCTTTGGGAGGTAATCGGCAGGAGGCGGGCTCTCAAGTACCCAGGTCCAATACCATGTAGGGCTTGTTTCTATGCCAATTTTTTTTCTAGATGCTCTTAGTGAGCTGACCTCCACTGCAGATGAACAGCTTAAGGGACAAACGTCCCAATGTGAACGAACATGGAATTCATTAGATTTAGGTCATGCTTTGGGGGTCAAAAGATGGACAGCAGCCCTACTATGCACATTTTCCCTAAAGCCAATCAATTGGGTTTACTCCAAGTTAAGAGTGGATTCCAGCTTTCTTAATTTACTGAGTTATGTAAGCTTGAACCCGTTGATTTCGAAGGGCTCCAGGACACTTAACAAGGTCCTGGGTCATGGCCAGAATACACAAGGCAGCTCTGGAATTCAGTAAGTCCAACTGGCAAGCGTCCATTATTCAACCCCTCCCATCCACACCTGGGACTGTTCACTGCCCCCTCAGCAGGCACCCAGCAGCTGCACAGGGCAAGGGAGGGGGGGGGCAGAGACGGAAAAAGAAGGGGAACCACCACCGAGGTTCCTCGAGGAAGTCTTGAAGCAACAGACCCTTTGTGAGGAAAGCAGCTCAGCTGAATTCCAGGGCTCCGGTGCTAACCCATAAAAAGCTCAAAAAAAGCTTGTAACTCCTCACGGCCGCCAGGCCTGCAAGGAGCCGTCCTCGGGATTTGCTTCTCTAGGGGAAAAATCTGTTCACGGCAGCGTGGAACCAGCGGCCAAGAGGAAGCGCTGGCGAAGCATCCGCGTCTGGCTGCAGTGGAAAAGGGACAAGAGAGCAGGCGTATGTGTGCCTGGGAGGATGTCTTTCTTCCCGGTACCGCTGAGTCCCGTCCGGGACTGCCCCGTCCCCTTCCACGCTACCCGGGAAAGGGCCGCCGGAGTGTGAAGGACAGAGCCTGCCCTGCCGGGAGCGGAGCCTTTCTAGGGAGGGCCCCCGAAGGCTCCCGGGGACGCGTGGAGATGCAGCCAGCGAGCTTACCTGGGCAACGAGAGCCGAGCACCGCGCCTGGACTGGACAGGCTGCCCGCGGAGTTCGGCGGCGGCCAGAGAGAGGAAGAGCAGGAGCAGCAGGAGGCGGTGGCGGCTGATGCAACTCTGCCCAGCCGGCAACTGGCGCTTCATGGCGGCAGAAGACGGGACGGACTCCGGAGAGATGCTCGGAAACGGCGACGGAGCCTGCGCTGCCCACTCCCCGTGACGGCTTCCAGACTCGAGGTGGGATTGAGCCGTCGCTCTTCGAGCCTCTCGCGGGGTTAGTTGCCCGTCTTTGCCGTCCGACCCGGCCGGCCCTGGGTTAAATACCGCTCCCTCCCGGTTCCTTCCCCGACGGGGCGGGGCGCCCGGCCCCCACTGAAGCCGTGGCTCTGCTCGGCCCGCCCTGACTCCGGCAGCCGCCTCCTCCGGGGATGGCTGGACAGGAGGTGCGGAGCCAGCACGGGCGGCCCCTCGGAGGGAAGGCGCTCCCTCCAGCCGGCGCGGCTTTTGTCCAGCGGCGGGCGCTTCCCGGGCACGGAGAAGAGAAAGCCAGGCGGGCGCGGCTCCCGGCCCGTGGCTCCCCCGCTGCCCGGGTCGCACCTGCCGTCGGCCTCGTCTCCCATCCCGCAACAAGTCCAGGCTTGTGGTTGCGCCGCCCGGCAGGAGGAGCTCTACTCCGGGACGGGCCACTGCGCGCCGCCTCGCCTCTGCTCCAAGCCCTCCGCTCTTCCGGGCCCCGGTGCGGCGCGGCTGCGGGGGGAGCATCCGGAGCGTCGCGGGTAGCCCCCAGCGGGATGTTGAAGGGCTGGCCGGAGACGACCAGCTACCGCGTCGGCATGACAGCTCGTCCGTGGCTTAAAGCGGCTGGAGCTTCGGGGCAGCGCCGAGGGCTCCGAGCGCTTTCCCACGCCGGTGGCTCTGGCGCAACTACAGGGCATTCGTGGGAGACGGAACTCCCGTCGTCGGACAACCCGAACTCCACGGTATTAGGCCGAATTTCCACGTCCTATTTGAAGAGGGGAAGACTTTGCTAGCCTGAAGGGCTGCCTTTGATCTCAAGGTAAATGTCAAAGGGCATTTCAGGTGGCAAAGAAAACCTGCAGCCAAAATAACTGCTACCTGTCTAGTTGTTCAAAAAACCCTCTTCAAAGCCTGTGAAGCAGAGCATCATCCCCAAATGGAGGCAAAAGTGCTCACAGCTCCTAACTCCAGGCAAGTAACTTTCACAGCCAGGTTGCCCATTTGTTTCAGGCTCTTCAGGCGAAAAGCGGAGCTGCACTGCCATCCCACCAGAGGGTCAGCCTCAGCCAAAGTCTTTGACCAGGAGGGCCACTTCCAGCCTTGAATTGAGAGGGAAATAAAACAGGTATTTGCTGCTCCCTTTGCCCCTCCCCCCTCCCGAGGGCCCTCAAGGGCCAAGCCATGCTGCAACCTCTGTTCTGCCCTGGCAAAGCATCCCAAGAGGGGAGCTCATGGATGCAGTGAGGACATTGCAGTGAGGGAAACATGGGAGAGCCTGGAGAGCCCTGGTGTGGCTGGACTTCCATCCCAGCCTCCTCTGGCCATCAGAGACAGGTTCACTGCTGATATGCAATTAGTTCAAGAGCCTTCATTTTTTCCCCCCTCATTCCAGGTTTCTCCAGGCTATAAAACCATGAAATCCATTTACTTGCCTCTTCAGTGTTGATTTAAGAATTACAGGTTCCTCTTTATTTAACATGTTCTCAGAGCAGTTAACAAGATCATAATTTAGCAGTAAACAGTACAATAAAGTGAGTCCATTGGCAAGGAAACAGGACATTTCGGGCACACAAGTCAGAGCCAGACTCATTCGCCTCTGATCCAAAGGCTGTGCTGAATGGGGGGGGGGGACGTTTGGCCAGTCTAGCAGGTGGCACAAATCACCTGAAGTGCACAACTGCACAACAATGGCATCACCTCCTGGGATGCAGCCGTGTAAAACTCAGCCATCGGTGCCTTAGTGAACAAATTACATTTAAGAAAAAGCATAGCACCGCAAACAGATTCTCATGAAGGGTGGCTTGACCCAACGTTCAAAGGGGGCATTACTCCCAAGACTGACAAAGTTAAACACAAAGGGGAATGTTCTGACTTAATTAGTTAACGAGAAGGATGTTCAGTTTAAACTCTCCCACAAGCTGTGGAATTTCTGCAACAGCTCACTATTGTGGCTGGGTGTGAAGCACTCATCTATCATCCATCCATCCATCCATCCATCCATCCATCCATCCATCCATCCATCCATCCACTTACAGGCTGCCCAACTGCATCAGAATCTGGACACCTGTAACATTAAAAGCAGGAAAAAATAACACAATGAGAACACAGATTAAACATATCCAAAAAAAGAAGGATACAGGTTGTTTTTGTGAACTGGGGGACTTTTATGACCAGGCCTTACAGATCTACATCCCTGCAGTCACGTGGTCACAATTCAGGCACTTAAAGGTAAAGGTTCCTCTCACACATATGTGCTAGTCCTCCCCAACTCTTGGTAAGTGGCAATCACAGACTTTACTGCAATTATGAGAGCTGCAGCCTTCCTATCGGCACCTGCACGGAGGCTTACAATTTCCAAGATATTTATAAAATTTGTATTCGCAAGCCATCAAACCGCCTCCACCAGTCGGCTCAGGTAGTTTAGGATCCGCTGAGGAGCAGCCTATCCAATTCCTTAAAGGCTACAGGGCTAAAAGAATCCTAAACAACGTAGTATGACGGTCAGTCACGTTCTGTTGGCTGGCCAAAGGGGCCCAGAGGCAACCCCACTGGAGAGCTTTTAACCACAAGAGAACCATCTGAGTAAGGACAACAACACAACACTGGACAACAATATAATGAAGCAAGAAGAGAGAACTAAGAGTGTTTCACACGCTTTATCACCACAGAATGATGGATCTTGTGCTTGGGCACATTCTGTTATTCTCTGGCTGCTTCCACTGCTTCGTCTCCCCAGTCCTGTGCAAACCAAGGGGACCCCCTGGTTTTAACAAGGGCCTGAGACACCTCCTCTTACCAGTAATGAAACAGACCCTCAGTCAATCAAATTGCCCAACTTCCTTGCTAAAGAAATCCCAAGTTACTTGCCAGGGGCCCAGGAGCAGAGCATCTGAAAGCCTCACTGGGGTAACCATGGAGGAGGTCAATGCCTGCAAACCAGGAAGTGTTCTGACTGTGCCAAAAACAAGATACTAATACCTTTCATATCCAAATCAAATTTATTAGAATTTATTAGAATAATAAATAACTCCTCTTCTACCATATGACCCTTCCATATGGATTGGATCAAAATGCTCAATTATTCATTAAATTTATATGCCACTTACTATCCAAATTCCCTAGATTGCAAGGGAAAGGTTAATGGCTTCCAAAAAAGAAATGAACGCCTAGATTCAACCAGTTTTTGCTTCTACTGAATGGAAGCTTCAGTGCTTCGTTTGAAGCATAAGCCTCATTATTATCTTGGGGGTTACAAAAAGGGAAGTATAAACCAAAAGAGGAAAATAATACAGAATCAAACAGAAAAAATACAACAGATGGCTACTTCATTTGGAAAATGTTAACTTCTGATTAGTGCCATGGAGGACACTAACCACAGAAAGGCTTTAACAATTGTTTGGGAAGCAAAGAAAATGGTTGCTAAGAAAAAGGTGCATATTTTGCTGATAGTTGTGGGAGATAAAGAGATTTTATTGAAAAGCTTAAAGCCCCACAAAAAAAACCATGTGATTCAACTTTACAAAGCTATAATCAGGAACATTTGGAGTCCTTCAGGATTGGGCAGCCTATAAATGTATTAAACATCAACACATCAAAATCATTACTCCATGCAAAGCAATTCCAATTTCATAAGCAGAAACAGAAAGGAATACAATACAATAGCAGAGTTTTTGGCAGCTGCTGCACACTGCTGGCTCATATTGAAATGATTCCAAGATCCCTCTCAGTTACTACTATTGAGCAAGGTACCACCTATACTGTACCTGTACATTTCATTTTTCTGGCCTGAATGTAGAACCTTACTCTTTTCACAATTGCATTTTATTAGATAGTGCCCAATGTTCAAGTCTGTCAAGATCCTTCTGTATCTTAAGCCTATCTTCTGGAGTGTTGGCTATTCCTGCCAGCTTGGTGTCATCTGCAAATTTGATGAATTCCCCATCTATCCCCTCGTTCAAATCATTGATGATTTAAGAATCACTTCATTAAAATATAGATTAA